AGGAAGGAAGGAAGGAAGGAAGGAAGGAAGGAAGGAAGGAAGGAAGGGAGAAAGGAAGGAAGGAAGGAAGGAAGGAAGGAAGGAAGGAAGGAAGGAAGGAAGGAAGGAAGGAAGGAAGTTTCAGCATGACAGAAAATGAAGACCAAGTAGAAAAGACCAACTGGATGGCCGTCAGACACATGCACTTGCCTGTACAAATGATGCCCTGTTCCCACTGTAGTGCACAATCTGCTCTGTCTCTACAAAGTTAGCTGCATGGCCTTCAGAATCAATTCCTAACATTCGGTACAAAAAAAGATATGTAAAAAATCATTAGCTCAAGATAACGTTAGAATTATCAACTAAGGTCACATTAGTGGATAAGTACTTATAAAATTAAACAAATGGATAATACATTCTCAGAAAACTAAAAGAAGCTTGCTTAAGTAGGCTTAAAGAGTAATCTATCTTTTTGTGATTATACTTGGGAATAACATAACACTAAATAAAAATGTGGCTCAATAATGAAAATTACTGCATCAGTAGTACTTGTAATCAAAGAGTCTCTAGAAGATACTTAACTATCAAATAAAGAATTGTGTATGCTTCTAAATATCCATGACCATGAACATGTCCATGAAACCTAGTTTGAAAAGCTGTTTAATTACCAGAGGCTCTACATTGCTTAGGTATTTCTGATAGCTGAAATATTCTTACTAGCTTATTTACATAATTTACTGTTACTAAAAAAAAGTCTGCTGAGCAAAAGTAATTTTCAAGGTAGCCCTGATCCAGATTACCAAATTAACAGAAAGAAATCGACAGATTTTTAACTTACCTATAAACATTCTTTTTCTCTGATATGTTTCTCAAATAAAGCATTTTGAGTTATTATCAGTATATCTGTAACTATACATTAGTAGATAATCAGAAGGAGGCAAATTTACTGAGCTACACTGGCAATGGTATTACTTCTCAATGCTAAATTACTTTCAGAAGCATTGGCTACATTTGTTTTTTTCTGAAAGAAAATGAAAGAGAATGGTGTTCCCCATAGGTTCACGTTAGGGAGTGGCACTACTGGAGAGGGATTAGGTGTGGCCTTGTTGGGGCAAGTGCAGCACTTGAGGACAGGAGAGGTCTTGGGGTCTCAAAAGCCCAAGCAAGTCCCAGTCTCTCTCTTCTTCCTGCTGCCTGCAGATATTACAGATGCTATGTAGCACTGGGAAAAAGCCACTAAGATTAATCAGATTAATTACAGTAACTTGTTCAATAGGATTTCATTCTGATAAATTAGGCTTGAAAGCAAAACAAATGTTGGGAATCTTCATAAACACAATAACTCCAATATACAGCTTAAACAATTTGAGAAAATTAGCATATTTTAGTACAGAGCCTCCAGAACGCTCAAAATGTAAATAAATATTTTATATACTGAAGTCATGAAGTAAAATGTCTATCTTTGTACATGCAAAGAAACCAAGAGTGGTAAGAAAATACTATCTGCTATGAAGGTATGATACAATGAGTTCAGCACACTTTTAGACACCCAATAAACATGCAGCTGTTCTTAAACAGTTAATGGCCCATGATGCCAAGTTAACATTTGCAAAGTAATTATAACATCTGGAGGAAAGCAGGGAAGACCTACAAATTATTATAATGAGAGGACATTAACTGGGGTATCAAATAACACAATATATAAAAGGTGACAGGTAAGTCATTTAAGACAGCAATTCATCAATGGCAGATGTGGCCAATCATGCTGACATGAAATGATTCTTACCTCTTACATAATAACGCACACCAGCCCTGAAACAACTTCTTCGGGAGATGAGAATCCAATCAAAGTATTTTCCATTAATAGAACACGAGTGCATAGTAATAACTTAACTATATTAAGAAAAATGCAACATAGAAATATTTCTAAAATCAATACAAATCTATTAACTCTAATAGGAATGAATTATCTTTAGGAGGAAAAAAAAGAGGCAGAATATGCAAGTCTTTCTGGTTCTTCATGACTATTTCCAAACCTTGAGTATCCTCATTTCCGACTTTGGAATTTGTTGAGTCAGTTCTCCTACAGTGACATGCTGACAGAATATTTAAGAACTCTGCTAGTGTTCCTACTTAAGTTTTTCCCTTCCCTGATATCTTCACAACTGCTTTCTAAAAATATAAAACTTCTGAATAAAAGCAAAAATCTGAAAGAAATTAATCCTCCAATAAGAAATGAAAAAGAGTAGGAGCTAGGACCATAGCTCCTCCCTGGGTTTGATCTCTTGCACTGCAAAAAATAAAACAATTAAAAATTAAATAAAGAAAACTACTTAAAGAAAAATATGAAATTTATCATACATGTAAACTGATAATAGTTGGTATATGAAGATTTACAGATCAAAATATTAATCCAGAAACAAATTTTTAAACTCCTTCTCTGGAATGTAAAAAGTGAACCTAAAATTGAAAAAAAAATGTAAAAATATATAAAATGATAAGAGTGCTTTCCAGCATGCTTGAAGACCTGGGTCTGATCCCCAGCACAACATAAGCCAGATATAATTAGACATGTATGTGATTTCAGCACTTGGAGGTAGACGGTTCAAGATCATATTCAGAAGCACAGAGCTCAAGGGCAGCCTGGGATTTCTCTAAACCTTCAACAGTAGTCACTGAATTGTACAATCAAAACTGATTAAAATGGTAGCTTTTAAGTCAAATCTATTTGATCAAAACAAACCCTTTGCAGATGCTGCGCTCTCTTCATCTGACTCTATCACTGCCATGCAGGAAAGGACCACTCACTTCATTCCTTTGCTTGGCTTTCACGTTTTGCCACTAAACAATGTATTTAGTGTGAACAGCTTTTTACGTCTTTGCAGGAAAGGCACTGCAGTGTAGATATCCCTGTGGCCTTACACGCCCTGTATGTCTTTGAAGCTCACTCACTACTATAGCATTTAATTATCCTCTGCATAAACATACTACTGGCTGGTTTTGTTTGCAGGGGTGTCTCTATTTGAGAAAAAGGTTTGCTATGCAACCCAGCATGGCTTTACACTGTTACCTTCCTTCCTCAGTCTACACAGGGCTGAGATGACAAGCACAACAGAAAGGATATACTAGTTTATCTGTCTGTTGTACTGCTGACAAACATGGAAGTTGATTCTGGTCCAAAGTTTCAACAAACATCTTTGTGTGAGCATGTGGACATGGATCAAATTATATCCACCATCTGATACTGTCAAAAATGGCAATGGACTTGACAATTACTTTAGCTTATCTTCTTTACCAACTCTTGATATTGTTGAGTTTATCCAACTCATGGAGGCATTAGCAGATAACATGTTTCATTGTTTCACTGGCTGTATCATTTATCTTCGCTTATTTGTCTGTTTGTCCTACTGTTGTGTGCTTTATGTAACATTTTTTTCATTAACTTTTTAATTTTAATTTTATTTTTATTAGTTTATTCACTTTGTATCCCAGCTGTAGCCCCCTCCCCATTCCCTCCAATCCCACCCTCTTCCTCTTCTTCTATTCCCCTCCATTTTTCTTAATATAATTTGATTCACTCATCATAGAGCATCCAACTTCAGAATATAGCCAAATCTCAATTTACCCATTTCTTTCTCTTTCTAGCCAGCTGAATTTATGTAAGAAATAACTTTTAACAAGTTTGTAACAACCATTCTCTCATCTTTCTAGTTCTGCACCTATAACCACTACTTAAACACAAAACCAACCCAAATTAAAAAAAAAAAAACAAAAACTTGCTTTTAAGCCTTATGAACATGACACTACATCATAGTCTTCTAACCCTGTCATCACTCCCCATGAGCTCCCAGAGTCACCCAGAGCAATTTATTTCTCTTCAGAGTGTGTGTGATCTGAAAAGGACCAGACAACAGAGACATAACTCTATTTTGTTATAACATGCTACTGTGAATGCATTAGGAATTCATACAAGAAGTTTTCACAAATTCTAAGAGATCAATGGAAACTGCTAATGATTCATTCCTCCTGCCTCTCACCACCAAACTCACTGATGGCTCCTCAAGCTCCCAAGTTACTCTCCTTTAAAAGGCACAGTACCAGAGAAGATTCCAAGGCAGTATTATTCCACTTGTTTGTCCAAACTATTTTCGAGCAGAACTCAAAGATAAAGTAATACATTAGCCTGCTGTTAGAATGTTAAAATTAACAGAAAATATGACTGTTTTATGACTCACTTTCCTCTGATCAAAATATGAGTAAGTATGTGTGTATGCACAAACACACCAACCATCAAAATGAGAGAACTGTTGAAAAATGAATGAACTCACTAATCTTTATCAAGAGTTAGACCGAGGACCCCCTACCCAACTGCCCAGGAGGCCCACTCCAAACACTATTCAAATTCCATCACTCCATAGCTAACAACACTGCTTCGTATTTCACTGGACTAAAAGGCCCATATGCTCCTGTGACATATTACCCACTGATCCCACACCTATGCCAGAATTCTCTTTGCTCCCACACTCGAGGCCTTACTCCAATAAGCACCCTTAGCATTCCCGAAGTCTCTAAAACCTTTCCCAGCAGAATTTGTTAATTTCCTCATTTGAAGAGTGGGCACAGGAACAGGAATATAACCTCCTTCCTGAATAGTCATATTTAATCATTACCATGTCTCAGCAGCTGTCACCCTCTTCCTGGAAACACTGTCTTCACTTGCTTCTAGAACATCACTCTCACTTGCTTTTCCTTTCCCTCACTGGTCTAATGCTGGTATCTGCACAAAGCTAGGAGCAATGCTACAATCTGCAATTTCAGTTCTCTCACTGTGGTTCATTTTTTAGAAGTCCTTTATCCTGAGGCCTACAGTACATGGCTCTAGTGTTTTCTCACTATGTAAAAACTCCTCTGATAATACAATCTCTTTCTCCACTTTTCTTTCTTTTAAGTTGAAGTTTGTTTTTTTTAATATTTTATTTATTTTATGTATATGAAATAAATATAATGAAATATATATGAAATAAATATAATGAAATAAAACGCTGTATCTGCATTTAAACCTACATACCAGAAGAGGGTATTAAAGGGTATAGATGGCTGTGAGCCCCATGTGGTTGCTGGGAATTGAACTCAGGACCTCTGGAAGAGCAGATAATGCTCTTAACTGCTGAGCCATCTCTCCAGCCCCACCAAACCATTTTTCTATCTACATTTCTCCTTTTAATAATCTATCACATTTCATGGACTGAAATGCCATCTAAGGACTGATGAGATGGCTCCAAGGACAGAACAAAGGCAGCTGTTACCAAGCCTGAGGATCTGTATTCAATCAATCCCTGGAACCCAAAAGGTAGAAGGAGAGAACAGACTCCTGAAAGTTGTCCTCTGGCCTTCACAAGTGTGCACATGTACACACAAACTAAACAGATGTTGAAGGAAAGGAAGAAAGGAATTCCATCTACCCTGACCACCTACAAATTTTTATCTGTAAGGCCAGTAAGATCTAAATGGATTAATGTACTTGCTACCAAGCCAAACAAGTAAGCTTCATCCCCAGGACCCACATGGTAGAAGGAAAGAACCTAGTCCCTAAAGTTGTCCTTTGAACTCTATACATGCACCACAGTGAATGCACCCCTCACATATACACATTCAATAAAAACAAGAAATCACATCTCTGGTGTGAGCTCTTCCCTCAACTCTGATTCTATTAATTGGGTTCCTCCCTCACAGCATCATTTGACCATCTACAGAAATGCTGAAGTAACAAATGGATGGCTCTTCTCCTTCCCTCCTACCTTCAGACTTACCCATCTCAGATTCAGGTTCAGGAGCCTTATCAATTGAGCTATACAAGCCTTCTCACACTTCCCCAACTCAATGGATGGCCCCCTGCCACTTAACATAACAAAAACCTTACCGTTATACCAGCATCTTTCATACTCCATATATAATTAGAAAAGCTAGTTGTCTCAATTTTCCAAAGTTCACTACCCGAAACCATTGACGCACTCCTGGTTCTTGGCAAAATCCACTTTCCTGGGCAGGACTTTGTCCCCTCCCTTGTTCACACCTGGCCTATGCTATAACAGAGTGAGGATGCCTTATACCAATCCTCTATGCAACCTCTACTCTCCCAGAGAAGTTTCTCAGCACATGTGAAGTAAAAGTTGCAGTCCTTCCATGACCTGTAGAGCCCTGAGTAATCTGGATTATGTAACTTGTGAACACAACTCTCCCTGTCTGCAATCCACTTCATTCAGATGTACGTGATATCTCTGTAAATATGAAACCTAGAAACACATTCCTAGTTAACAAACTACATTTAAAAAGTCTATTTTATGCTTTAAACTCAACACTAAATAGGAAAGCAGCCTAGAAAACAAGTTTTAGATTATTATTTGTCCATTCATAATATCATTTTAAAAACAAAACAAAGTAGAAACAATTGGCCCAAATCCTTGAAAAAAAATTTAAAACACATTTGTTCTTATTTTTAGGATAAATTTTTAAAACGATGGAAAGTATGGGAGAAGTAAGGCTTAAAACAGAGTACACTTGTCTAGCATGCAAAAAACTTTTTTTTTTTTTTTTTCAAAAGGCTTTTAATCCTAGCACTTGGGAGGTAGAAGGTAGAAGCACAAACATCAGAAGTTCAAGGTCATACATACTTGGGTAGGTAACGTTTTTTTGGGACCAGTCTGGGATATATGAGACCTATATAAGAAAACGGAAAGGAAAGGGAGATGTAGGGAAGAGGAGAGCCTAATAGGGAATGAATACAACAGAATAAAACAAGAGCTTTACCCTGAGATTTTTCTGATTTTTTTAAAATTTCCCTGTAATTATGAAAAATATTTTCTCAGTTACTTTTCTTCATAATATAAAAAATATGCTAGGCACGTTTTTGTAATCCCAGCACTCAGGAGACAGAGGCAGGTGGGTCCCTGTGAGTTCCAGGCCAGCTTGGTCTACAGATTGAGTTCTAGGACAGCCAGGACACACAGAAATCCCAGTCTTGAAACCCCACCCCCAAACAGATAGATATAGATGAAATGAATGAAAGAAAAATTTATAGTAGCATAATGAACAAATAATAAACCTCACTGCTGTACTTGGCACAAAGGTGCCAATTCGTAAGACAGGGTCCTGCTGGCACCACTCCTTAGCACATGCTGCACCTTCCTTCAGGAGCCCGTTCACCCTGAGTTCCTACGTTATTGTGATAGCTCTGATTAGACTGTGTGCTCAATGAATCTACAATGAAATAACCAAAACTTGTTTTTTATTACACTTTGATTTTCCCCAGGCTTTAGTTTTTTTTATTTTCTATCATTCTTTAAATGATAAATAATTTAAAATTTTACTTTTCAAGTTGGTAATGACTACAGTTCTTCATCTGGTTTCTTTTAACACTAAGGAAGGCATCATTTAAATAGGTCCACTCTACTCTTGTGTAATTCACTGCTACAAGGTAACTCCAAAAGGGCAAGATGCAGTACAACTCTTTCTTTTAAAAATTATCAGTCCCAAACTCTTGAGCAAAACAAACAAACAAACAAACAAACAAACAAACAACGATAATTATATCCTTTGCAGAGGATAAAATCTAAAAAGGGGAAGGGATTGTTTACAGTCTGTGCTAAGATTTTGCATTTATGTTAACAGCAATTCTGAAAAATACTGAAATAGTCATCTCACATCACATGAGCCTCTGCATCTGTCTTAAATTTTAAACATTTAAACAAAGAAAATAAAATTTAAAGAGAGACTGTAGAAACTAAGATAAGGATACAGCCATGTAACACTGGAAGAGCAAACCGGTGGACCTAAAAAGAAGATAAACAATGTATTTAGAATCAACCAACCACCTGTGCCGTGGTGGTGCACACCTTTAATCCAGCACTTGGGAGGCAGAGTGCAGGCGGATCTCTGTAAATTTAAGACCACCTTGTCTACAGAGCTAGTTCCAGGACAGCCAGGGCTACATAAAGAAACTCTGTCTTGAAAAACAAAGCAAAACCCAAACAACAACAAAAATCACACCCTAAATAATAAACCAGCATCCCCACATAGGACACACTTACATGCAGGCAATAACACACAAACATGACCATGCAGTGAGAACACAGGTAACTCCTAATGTTGGGGAAATGTCTGCAATGTTGCAGGCAGGAAGCAGTGTAATCACTAAGGTCTGAACTCCTTCTAAGTCTTTGCCTATAACTAATGTACTTGTGAAAAACAACAACCACGCTAATGATTTGTCAATCCCAACGACCAAAAAATAATGATAAGCAAATGGCAGAAAACCAATCACTTCTACAAACCTAAGTGCCTTGGCTCACACCTCACTGTTCAGCACAGGGTGAAGGCTGGTGTGAGTTAGGGGGTGTCCACCTGGCCTAGGGACTATGAACAGAAGCTGGGTTTGGCTAACTGGTTTGAACTGCAGTCCTGTGGAGAGACTGGAATGCTAATGCTGCAGGTCAGAACACTATCTTGAGCTAGTCCTAGCCTCTGAACAGTCATTTCTTGCCCAGCTCTATGGCAGAACTGACACCCTGTGACTAAAAAAAAAAAAAAGAGCTCTGTTAACCTAGCAGATCACTAGTGTCCACTAACTAAGCCTAAGAATGTCGTCAGACAGCATCCTGGGCCTACAGAAAAGCTCCCTTCCTATTGTGCTGTAACTGCCCCTTTAATGTACCCACCAATGTATTTTAAACTGGGCTTGATTTGTGTCTTTGTATAAAACTAAAAACTTCATAAAACTGCTTCCACATTGAAACATGGAATTTAGAGTAACTAAAATCTGTGTCTCCAGGCCATGGCCAATCAAAATGGCTCCAGAATAAATCTCTTATTCCCTTTTAAATGCCAGCTATGGTTTTGCACTGAAAAGACAGCCCTGATCCCTCCCTTCTACATTATTCATCCAGTACAGTTCATTCTAGCTCTCTTAGAGAAAACAATGGTTTTCATTTAAGGCTTCCATTCATAAGCCATATTATGGCTTATACCTTAAGTGTCCCCAAAAGGTTATGTTTTAAAAGTCTGGCAACTGGCCAGAGGAGCTATTAGAATTTAGAAGGTACAGCCTGGTGGAAGAAAGGACACTCATTAAAACCTAGCCTTTATGAAAGTCCTGTCCCTTAGCCTATTTATTCCCCTTTGCTGACTGGCTACCATAAAGGTGAACAATTTGCTACATCAATGTACCCCTTGGCATGTTCTCCCAACTAAAGGCCCAGACACAAAGGAAGGGGTCACCAGACAACGGACTGAAAGTTTTGAAAGCCCTGAGCCTACACACTTTCTTTTAAGTTGTCTCAGGCATTTTGCCACAGTGTCAAGAAGCTAACACCATAGATTGGGCCTCTACCTAGAACAGTACGACACGGCAAGCATGGTCAAGTGTGCGGTTATAATTAGGTAATTTTATAGTGCACAGTCAAACATGTATTACAACAAGAAAGCAGATCTGAACTGGAGTACGTTACCTCTGGCTGAGCAGACAGTTCTCTGAGCAGATGCCCATTCCACACAAACCGCTGATCTGCCTGAGAGAGGTTTTGGAAACTTAATGAAACACCTTCAAACTCCAACTGAGTAAGTGCCCTCAGACAGAAAAGTATACCCTTCAATGTCTCCACCTGGTGGCTAATACGGGTTTCTCTAATGTCCCAACTGAATACATCTCACTTCAAATCTGCTCCTCCTCTCCCTGTTCCTATCTGCCTCTTCACACACAGAAATTCTGGGTACCTCTCCCACCTTCCTAGGTAATCAGTGACCAAGAACTAGATCTCTAGTCTACACTCATTTCTCCATGTCCACTACTGCCGCCCAAGGACAGCAGTTGAGCCAACATAGCTATTCCACAGCTATTTGGCCTCCATTCTGACCCCACTCTGGCCTGGCGCCCTCAAAGGTAAAGCCTCCCCCCAGGCCTTCTGCAGCCTGACAATCCATCACCAAGATAGAAAACCTAATTTATTCAACACTTGGACTAAGTAGACAGCGCTTCACTGAGCCATACTCCTTCCTCACACTTAAGGTCATAAGGAGTGACCTATGGGGTCATCAACAGCAGAGTATCATGTCTTTTAGTGTGTATTCACAACTGGTTTGTGCTATCCATACTTAATCACCATCACTGCGTAAGAGTGTGATTATATAACTATTTTATAAGTCAGTGAAATGTAAATAATAACTTGCTGTTTTTAAAAAACTGAGGGGGCTGAAGAGATGGCTCAGCAGTTAAGAACACTGGCTATTCTTCCAAAGGTCCTGAGTTCAATTCCCAGCAACCACATGGTGGTTCATAACCATCTATAGCGAGATCTAGTGCCTTCTTCTGGTGCACAGGCACACAGGCAGTAAGAATACTATATAAATAATATTTTTTTAAAAGTTAAATTATTTGGAATACAACTTGATAATAAAACAGTGCTAAAACAAAATTAATGTTGAATTACAAGTGGAAGCAGCAACTAAAAAAGTCACAGGATTCTGCCTCACAGCTTTGTAACTTTTTAAGACACTAAAATGGAAACCTTTAAGGATAAAATAACAAATCAAGGAACCAAAACAAAGAAAGTCCTTAATTCTATGTAAAAACACTGACCATTCAACGTAAATTTTTTTTTTTTTTTTTTTTTTTTTTTTTGTCTTAAGGTTTCAATCATCAGTTTTATGGTTCTCTGTGACCTTTTTATTTAGCTAAAAAAAATTCTTTCCCTTAGCTGGGAAAACTCCAATAACTCAGGAGGCAGAGACAGGTGGGTCTCTGAGCTTGAGAACAGCCAGAGACACATAATGAGAGCAACCTGGTCTACAAAGTGAGTTCCAGGAACTATATAATGAGATCCTGTCCAAAACAAAAACATTTAAAAAAAATCTTCCTTTCTGTCACAGAAGAAATAGCTTCTAGTTCCTAAAACTTAAGAGTACTATCATCACTTCCTTGCCAAAAGCCTCTCTCCCATTATCACCTAACTGATTAGCCACAGCTTCCCCCCCTTGGTACAACTGTCTCTGGCAATCCTAGGCAGAATTAGACTCTCCTTCCTACAGGATCCCACTAAGTTTTGACCCCTGTCTTTGGTGGCAATCATCTCTGCTGGTAAATGCTCAGTACGTGCAAAGCCCTGGGTTCAATCTTCAACACTGTATTAAGTGAACATGCACACACATTCTGAAAGGCTTTCATCTGATCACGTGTGTGTTTCTACTAGATTCCTGGTATCTACGCCAATTTGTCTCAATCTTGGCTGCATATATACAAGAGTAAGGGCCCTCAGTGAGGCCTCTGACAGACATCTAAAACATGGTATGTTTTCAAAGTCCCACAAGAGTAAGGGAAATCAAAACAGGGCAGGGGTATGGTTTAATGAGAGAGTGCTTGCCTAGCACACATGAGGCCTTAAGTTTATTTCCAGGACGGGAGGTGGGGGGACATAAGAAAAAAATCATACATTTTAGGTAAAAGAGATATGCCCCTTTTAAAGACAACTAAAAGTAAACTAAACAAGAAGATCCAGCTTACCCTTTCCAAGAGACTCATTTCTTGGAATTCTGGACTGGTGTTAGATAGCCGTTGCAAAGTATGGGTCAAATCATATGTTGTTGAAAAGTAAAATCCATCTGTACTCAAGACTTGGTTTAGCATTGCTAGGAAAGTTTTGTTATCTTGCAACTGTGAAAAAAAGAAAAAAGAGAGTTCGATACAGGTCACAGTTGAGAAGAAAATCTATCCACATGAGAAGACAGCAAACTTAAAAACATGTATGAACTATCACTGACATAAGCACCAGTAAGAGATGGGGAATGCTCCATAAACACTGCAGGTCATTAAACACACTTGGGATAGGTCCAGCCTCCCCTCATTGGTATCAACTACTTAAAGCAAAAAGTTGTTTTAAGAGAACACCATCACCTTAGGTTACAGCACAGACTTCAGTGTGCCACACTCCCCAGGCCCTCTCTGTCCTTTACTACCCTGACTGGTTTACCAGTACTAAACTCATTAGCAGATGAAACACAAAAATCAAGAGATCAGCATTATCCTCACTTTCAAAAATTTCACTGGTTTGGGTTGGATAGGATCCAGAATCATTTTTCATTAAAACAAAGATTAGAAACCCTAGTAAAAGCAGTATTTCCTTTGTTTTGGAATAATAATTTTAGCTGGCTTTCCCAGTCAAAAACAATACTGACTTTTTTTGTTGTTGTTTAGAAAATAAATAAATAAACAAAAAACCAGTCACAGTTGGAAATGTTTAATAGTCATCAACCGATTAATATGTAAACTTACACATTACAAATGTACATACTACACATTTGAGCACAGACTAGCAAAAACAAACAAAAAATGTGTAGTAAACAGCACAAAAATTAGTTTATGGCTTGACAACAAAGAATAGTAGTCACAAAGAAATTGTCGAAGAAAATACTCCTGAGCAGTTATAATGAATACAGCTACTTTTATTTCATGTGTATGTACATATGTATTGTATGTATGACACTGTATGTGGGGGGGGGGTGAGTATGGAAGCCAGAGAAGAACCTTGGGTGTTATTACTCAGGACACTATCCTTTCTTATAACCTTTATTTTTGTGTATGAGTGTTTTGCCTGCATATATGGAGGCAAAACATTCACCTATACATACGTATGTGTGTGTGCCATGTGTCTAGTGGCTGAAGGTGGCATCAGATCCCCTGAAACTGAAGTTATGAATGGTTATAAGCCACCATGTGGATGTGACAAACCAAAGCCATATCCTCTGCAAGAGCAATAGCGCTCTTAGCCACTCGGACATCTCTCCAGCTCCCACCAGATATTTTGTTGAGGCAAAATTTCTTAGAGCCCTGGAACTCACAGACTAGTGAAGGCTGGCTGGTCAACAAGGCCTAGGAAGTCATCTGTGTCTATCTCCCCACCATCACTGAGATTACAAGTGTAACCATATTTGGGTTTTTGTTGGGAGTTCTAAGGATCAAACTCAGGTCTCATGTTGTTAAGACATGTGCTTTAAAGGCTAAACTCTAAGTTTCATTTTTATTTGTTTAGAATATTATTTCTTATGGAGAAAGAACATACTAATATATGAGGTAAAAGGAAATCCTAAAGTATAGAGAGCATGTCTCACAGTTTACTTGGTAGGACAATGCTATGATCTGGCATTTTTACAGGAAAGCCATAAGCTTTGGAAAAACAAGAAGGTAGAAACAAACAACGCATGCTTCCTCCCTGAGGGTAAGAATGGTTGGTTGTTGGCTGTGGGAGAGACATTTTCTGGTAAGCTACCTATGCTCCTAAACTGATACACAAAAATCAAAGCCCTTTTAAAAATAATCTTGGTAGCCAGAACAGTGGTGATACATGCCTTCAATCCTAGCACTCAGGAGGCAGAAGCAGGTGGCCCTGAGTTCCACACCTGCTATGGCTACATATATACATAGCAAAGCAATGTCTCACTATAAAAACAACAACAACAACAAACCAAAACAAAACAAGCAAACAAAGAAAACTCAGGTAAAAAGGTGTATGCTTTAATCCTAGCATTTGAGGCAGAATCTCTGTGGGTTTGAGACCAGCCTGGTCTACACAGTGAGTTCCAGCACAGCCAGAGCTACATTAGGGGTGGTGGAGCATTTTTAAAGAACAGACACTGTAAATTACTTCGGAAACAAGCATTCTGGAGGTGTAACTTTATAAACCAAACAATCACTTCTAGAAAGTAAGTTTCAAAAACTTACTTTTGTGGTTGGTAGATTATTGCTCAGTGGGCACAATGTTTGCCGTGCAAGCACTAGGACCTGAGTTCAGATCCTTAAAACTCACCTACCCCTGGGCACAGTGGTGCCATCCATAATCCCAGTGCTCCTACAGTAAGGTGGGAGGAGAAAGGAGAATATCTGAAAAATCATGGGCCAGTGATTGTGGAGACAAACAACTAGAGAACTGTCTCAAACAAAGTGGGAAGTGGGCACCAATATCTGCAATTGTCCTCTGACCACTGCATGTGGCCCATGGGACATGCCTGCCAGGCTATATGGTCACAAAAGCACACAAACACACAAAACAAAGACTTAAAAATCACAACAGGGCAGTGCAATTTGTGCAAGTGTCACACACATTTCAAGCAAAATACCTTTGGGAAATATGTACTGTAAGTCTTTACTTTGTAATAGTGTAAAAAGTGATCATGCTATCTTAACCTTAATGACATACCATTTTATATAAGCCACTGGAAAAATTGATTGTTCTATAGCCTTCTAAGGGTTTTATGAAAATATTAAAAATGTTCTTGGGGATGGAGAGATGGATCAGTGGTTAAGAGCAGCAACTGCTCTTCCAAAGTACTGGGGTTCAGTTCTCAGCACCCACATGGTGGCTCACAATAATCCGTAACTCTAGTTCCAAGGGATCCAGTGTCCTTTTCTGATCTCTGCAGCCACCAAGCACACATGTGGTCCACATACATACATATAGTCAAAACATCCAACTCATTAACAAAACAAACCATAAGCCAGTCAACGGGGGAGCACACCATTAATCACTGAACTCGGGAAGCAGAGGGAAGTGGACGAGGCCAGCCCGGTCTGTAGAGTGAGTTCGAGGACAGTCAAGGCTGTATAGGCTGTATAGAGAAGCCCTGTCTCAAAAAACCCAAGTGGGGGAGGGGGAGACGTTCTAATGAGAAGTTATAAATTAACAGTGAAACTAACTATTAGCATTTTATTTAACGAATGAATGTGTCCAGGTCTCTGACACAGAGTCCGATTACAGAGCAGCTGGGCTTGAACTCTTGAGCCTCCTGCCTCAGTCTCTAAGTGCTAGAATTACAAGTCTGTGCCACTATACGAAGTAGTAGGTACATTATAATTAAAACTATCAGAAACATGAAAATTAAGAACATTTACTTTGTAAATATCTTAACCAAGAAACCTGAGCAGTGCCTGCCCACTGCTCCTTGTCACATAATTTACAGTTGGGAATATTTACTCTGACATTAGTAAATGTTACAAATTTCTCTAACTCTAAACAAATTTCTGGCATTTTGTCCTTTGCACTTTGAATGTCATATCATACTTCCGGCAGTTTCTTTACTAAAAAGTGTGCTGCAGTTATCACTTGCTCTTCCTTTCTGTCACAGCCGCTTCACTGTGATGGTAACCAGGTAACAAACCTCTGACTTTGTGCTCAGTCTCTAGAATGATGACTGCTGTTTTCCCACAGTCAAGCTACTCCACGGCTCGTTATTATCAAATCACTTTCAGAGTGATCATTTTTGTTTATCTGACTTTCATCTTTGCTAAAATACTCTTTTACTTACTATACTATGGTCACTAACATTTAGTATGTTGTCAAGGGTCTAGTGTTAACTAAACCAGGTAACTGAAATCTCTGAACAAAGGAAATAAGCAAAGAGTATGCACATATTCTATACACATACAAAGATTCTCCCCCCACCCTCTCCCTGTCCCATGTGATTAACAGTGAAAAGAACTTTCTTCTGGGAGAAAAAAAGAAAAAAAATTTCAAAAGTATTTAATACTTTATTTTTCTTTAGAGAATATTCAGCTAAAGCTAAAGCCGAGTATTAAGTTTGGGGGGGGGGGTTGTTTGTGGTAGCCTTGGCTGTCCTGGAACTTGTAGACCACATTGGCCTCAAACTCAGAGATCCACCTGCCTCTGCCTCTGCTGGGATTATAGGCATGTGCTACCACTTCCCAGCAAGTATGAAGTCTTGAGTATTCTATTTGTCCCTTTTTCTCTACGAACTTCATAATTTAAAATTTTCATTACTTGAAAATAAAACCAAAAAAATATATTCACTTAAAAATTTTACTTTTTAATGGTTTTTTAAAAATATGCATTGATGTTCTACATGTATGCCTGTGTGAAGATATCAGATCCCCTGGACCTGGAGTTAAAGGCAGATGTGAATTTCCATGTGGGTTCTAAGACTTGAACCTGGGTCCTCTGGAAGAGCAGCCACTGCTCTTAACCTTTGAACCATATCTCCAGCCTCTGAAAAAATATTTTTATGAACAGGTAGAAAGGTAGTAGAACAACTTCATTTACAAGTTGCTTAATAACTAAGCTTATAAGAAATCCATCTACATTTTACAACCCCCTATTGAATGGTATTTTTGAGTTTTGCAATTAATATCTGCTTCTAAATCTTACCTGAATATCAGTTAAGTGCAACATTGTCTTCTTATAAGAAAGAACATCAAAATCTGTGGCTTTCCAGATTACATGATTAAAAAATTCACCTACTTTCATCTTTTTGGTAACGACGACAAGATAATTACCTGAAAAAAAAATAGCCAAACATAAATAGATAGACAGACTGATAGACAGACTAGATAGATAGATAGATAGACAGACAGACAGACAGACAGACAGACAGATAATGGCAGGGTGGGGCTGGGGAAGCACCTATGAGATCCTGGGTTTGAGTCCTAGCATATCACAGAAACAACATGAAAAAACAGAAAGCACAAAGTTAACTGTCCTTATTTGTAAACTTTAAAGCCTGACAAAACGAGACTGCACTGAGCTACTCTGATGAAAGGCCTGGTTTTTGTTTTTTGTTTTTAAGCATTTTTTAAATTTATGACTATAAAGAATAACACATCATTTAGAAAAAAAAAAAAATCCTATTGTCCTAAAAGGACAATTTTTTCCTTCAAGAAGATAAAAGCAAACCTTTTAATAACCAAAAAATTGAGCTTAGCTGGTGGAGAGTAAAGAGCAATCCCCTCTACGGCATTTCTTTGTCCTTGTCATTACTCTAAATGTGCTGCAGCAGTATACCTAACTAAATATAGACACTGTGAACGGACAAAGGAGCAGTTAGAAATCAACACCAATAACAGCCCATGCACAATATATCAGTCTTTACCCTTTCCTCACCACTAAACACAGTTCCCTCACTCTTCTGTGACACTAAAGAGAGAAGCTGGGATCTTACACAGGACAAATATTACCTCAACCTATAATCCCAGCTTTCATTATATTAATACTTAAGATCTATCTGTTCAATGTCCTACCTCCAACTGCCCTGCCCAGAGGTTTTACTGTATAGACATCTCTCCTAGAAGCTGCACACTGTGCTACAGTATCCTATCACTTGTATACCTCTATCACTAGATTGTGAACTGCAAAAAAAAGAGGAACATTGAAATCTTTTATAATCCAACATCTAGCACTGGGACTGAAATAAAAACAAAGCAAAAACTTTTTAAAAGTTCAATTAAAAGGAAATTAAAGTGACAATCCACCTTCTTGCACCTGCCTATAATCCCAGGACTTGGGAGGCAGAGGCAGGATACTGAGCTGAAAGCCAGCCTTGAATATAGAGCTCGAGCCCAGCTAAAGCTCTAGATTGAGACCATATCTCAAACAAGTATCTTCTTAATAACTCAAACCAAGTATCACACTATAACATATGCTATAATATTAGATTAAACTTAAGATATAGAATATTCTGATAAATCAATGCATTAAAAATTTTTAAATGGTGTTGGAGAGATGGCACAGGTGTTAAAAGCACTGTCTGTCCTTCCAGAAGTCCTGAATTCATCTCCCAACAACCACATGATGCCTCACAACCATCTACACTGTAATCTGATTCCCTCTTCTGGCATGTAGGCATACATGCAGATAGAGTACTCATACATAAAATAAATAGATAAAATCTTAAAAACTTTTAAGAGCCAGGAGTGGTGGTGCATGCCTGTAATCCCAGCACTCAGGGAGACAGAAGCAGGCGGATCGCTGTAAATTCAAGGCCAGCCAGATCTACAAAGCTCATCCAGGACAGCCAAGCTACACAGAGAAACCCTGTCTCAAAAATCATTCCCCCCCCCACACACAAAAAAGGGCCAGGCATGGTGGTGCATGCTTTTACTTTCAGCACCTGGAAGGCAGAAGTAGGAGAAGCTCTGAGAGTTACAGATCAGCCTGATCTATATAGCTACTTCCAGGACAGCTAGGACTATACAGAGAAACCCTGTCTCAAACAAACAAACTAAAATTAAATGATTTCAGAATTTATGAAAATTTATGAGCTTTCAACTCTAGTTAGAATAAAATCAAACATGAAACCTTCATCTTAAAAAGAATACTTCAAGGGGAAAAAAAGAATTCTTTAGGATGATAAATTTAACTGTTTAGGGAATATTTTTATAAACCTAAGACAAATACCTAACAGAGAGTTAATGACAGGGAGAATACTTTTTCTCATTATCTAATGTTATTAATTTAATTACCTTCTTTGCCCATGTTGGTTTATTTTCTTTTCCATGTTGGTTTATTTTCTCTTACCTGCCACCAGATGGATTGTGCCCAGTATCCCAAATATTGGTCTCGTAACAGCTGAAGGAGGTATATCTTTTTTGACTAAAAAAAAAAAAAAAAGAAAGAAAGAAAAAGCTTACCAACAAAATAGAAATTTAGCTTAAGTAACTTCAAGTAAATAAAATTGCATAATTTATTCTAAAAAATAGTATTTTTTTCATTACTGTCAGAACTCCATTTTTGCAGAACATAAAATAAAGAAGTCCATGTGCTATTAAAAGAAGATGGTGTCAAAAACAGCATACTTCAGTGTCTTCATCAGGCAAACTATGGGTAATTTCTAATGTTGCCAGACTAAATACTATCTATCCCTTTAAGAGTAAGTAGAAGTAAGAATTTGAAACAAGAGTTTCACATTCACATACTACTAGCAAAATATAGAACTAGAACTGCCCATCCATGACTGAGGTTCAAGTGAAGAAAAAAAAACCTTCTTCCTCCTATGTCTAGCAACAGTGTGCACAAGCAGGCAACATACTAACTTTGATTTTTATCAGTGATGTCTGTTACCAATAAAACTGTATGCCAGAGACTGCATTTCAAAATTGTTAACCCTCAGCCAGTATGTTTCACAAAACACATTTTGTGGTACTCTTGTTTAAGAAATAATGCCCCAAAGGCAGGTGGGAGAATTCCAGCTCAAACAAGATTGTTTTGCTTGATTCAAATACCACTATTTCTCTCTCACACAGTCACATGAGAACAGCACTCAAGTGACTGACAGTAAAAGAAAACAGTCACTCTCTAACACAAGGTTCTCCAAATGCATGTGGCCAAAATCTTTATTTTATTAAGCTTTATTTGCTTTCTAGTTTTCTTTCAAATATTATCAACCTGACTCTCACTACTGTAAATTCAAGTCCTGGTCCCTAAAATCAGTCATAGTGAAGCTTTTATCTTAAATAACTAATTCTAAATAAAATACTAATAAAAGGTCAAGATTCATTTATGTTTGTCCTCAATAATTCAATTGATTTAACAATAATATTCTATATTTATCTAGTGTGAAAATTAGGAATATGCTACTCAGCAAGTTCAAGGCTAGCCTAGGCTACATACCAAGATTGTAACCAGAAGTAAAAGAAGAAAGCGTGGAAAGAAAGAGTGTCTGAGCAATAAACATCTCAAGAGAATATTCTGTTCTGAATATACTAAGATTATTTGACAAACTCAAATTTACGACCAGTGGAACAGTAAGACTTGTTGAGCAGAGAACAGCTGCAATAAAACTATAGCAATTCTCATAATATATGTTAGTTTTTATTGGAAGAAAAATAATCTGTTTTCTATGGCCACAGTCTACATTCCTAATGGCGACCAGAAACTGGCCGAGAAACAGTGAGTTAGCTCCTCAGTATCCCTGACTTTGCATCCAAGTATTTTAACTTCATCAAGGACTATTGGCACTATTATCCTACATCAAATCTGTCTTGATCATGAACAGCTCAGTCTACTAAAATAGAGCTCAAATGCTACCTAGAGTAAAGTCATTGTCAGTCCACAAATCCCTGAGAATAGACTAAGAGACCTACAAAGCACTAGCTCACGTCACTGCTGAATAAAGGAATAATAATGTGGAGTGGTGTAATGCATCGCTGAAAGTATGTTAGTAATAGTTAAAATTAATCAGCTGCCTCTGAAGAGAAACCATCAAGCATGAGACAGACAGAACATGTTAATTATCAACCTAAAACAGAATTCTAATGACACTTATCAAAGAAAATGGTGCTTACAGAATAACCTGTTACCCATACAGATGGGAAGTTTAGTCATATTTTTCTTACACCTCATTACTCTACTGAAAACATTTTTATATTTTACTTTACCTACTAAAACAATATTTACTGAACACCTACTCAGATTATTCAAATCTTTTCTTTAAGACAGGGTCTCAATATAAAACCCTGGGTAGCCTGGAACTTGTTATGTAGAACAGGCTGACCCTGAATTCTCAGACCTCTGCCTGCCTTGCCTCTGAAGTGCTAGGATTAAAAGAGAGCACGTTTAGCCAGGTGGTGGTGGTGCACACCTTTAATCTCAGGGCTTGGACACAGAGGCAGGAGGATCTGTGTGAGTTCAAGACCAGCCTGGTCTATAGAGTAAGTTCTAGAACAGCCAGAGCTACACAGAGAAACTCTATCTCAAAAAAGAAAGAAAAGAAGAATGAAAAGAAAGAAACCTTTCTTAAGAATAACAAACATAACTGCATGGAAGTGAACAGGATATTTTAAATCAATGAAATATAACATTCTCATGTGAGTATCCTGGCACCTAACCAATGAAATATAAACTTCGAAATTACTTGGTGTTTAATACATTAAATAAGAGATTCTAAATGTGCTATTAACTGGTACATTACTTTGTCATCAAAACTAACATTAATTTCTTCAGAACTCAAGATTGTTCCATATACACAATTGGGGAAAAATATTTTTCACATCCAACGGAAGCAAAAAATAAAATTAGATTGATAAAAATAAGTATTGCTTACAATGCTTACAAGTTTTAGCCAGTTAAAAGTGACCTCATAGTTATAAAACTTTTCAAAACAAAAACAAAAGCAGCTATGAGAGCTCCTGACACTTAAAGCAAAACATCTTCACACTCACTCAAAGATTAGCCCTAACCTGACTAGGAGCAGATAGAAGGGGAGGAGGACCTCCCCTATCAGGGGACTGGGCAAGGGGCATGGGTGGAAAAGAGGGAAGGAGGGTAGGACTGGGAGAGGATGAGGGAGGAAGCTACAGCTGGGATGCAAAGTGAATACACTGTAATTAATAAAAAAATAATAAATTTTTAAAGAGTTAGCTCTAGAAATGAGTTCAGACATAGAAATCAAAACCTATCAGAATACAGATAAAGAAACAGAAATAATTCTGGCCTCAACATGGCAACACATTGATAATCTCAGTACCTTGAAAGTACTGGGATTCAGGCCCTGGACAAGTGGCTGAGGTGTGTCTTTAACATACCAAAGCGGACCTCGCCTCCAGGTTCCCCCAGCAACCCTCGGTCCCCACCCGAACTTTTCAGCCCAGGGGCTGGGTTTCCTCTCCCCAAGAGGCTCTTCACTACATAATCCAGACATTTTGGTTCCCTCCCTCTCTCTGCATTTCTGTGTGCACAAGCTTCCCCTTGCTTTTATATACTTTAATTTGGCTTGAACTGGCTCATTTTGTCATTAGAAACTACCTATCAGGAAGTAGATGAAGAAGGATCCAGAGTTCTGGGTCAGCCTAAACTACATAATGAATTCTAGGACAGGACTGGCCTATAGAACAAAAGCCTTTCTCAAAAAATTAAATTAATTAAATTAATTGTGATAGCAAGAGTTAAGTTTTCTAATAAGAAGGCACTCAAAGAGCCTCATAATGATGTACCATAGACAGTCTTAATCACTGCAATCTCAGTACTAAATCATTCTGTGATACTCTGAAACTAGCTATACCTACCTGCAAGGGTGACCTCTGTGGACACTCGGTCAATGGTGAGTACATCATCTGCTCCATCATCACAAGCTTCCACATAAAACTTTTCAGGTGTAATATGCCTAAAAAGAAATTGGCAGACACAGACAAGTCAAATAAAATCAAGACTTAAATAATTACAACAGTTTTAATGCAGCAAATTTTCTACTTCTAAATAAATAGTACTAAATTCACGATCCTTATACATTTACTTCAATTCTTTTCACTTGTGTATTTAATGTTTTTAAGATTTTAATTTGCCATAAAGCCATCAAGTTGAATCACTTAAAATCATCTTCTCTAATGTACTACATTCAGCATCACAGAAAAGGCAACACAGCACAGTAACAGCACAACAGACAGAGCTGGACTATGTGCTGTGGACCTTAGGCAAGTAATCTTTTGTTTTTTTTTTTTTTTTTCTAGTTCTTTTTCAATTCCTTACAATAGAGGAATTACCACAAGTATGGTATATATAGTGAGAATTTTTGTTTTCTTTAAAGACACAGAAATGTTTTTGTTTTAATCCCAGGTGTAGGATATAGGCTGCTTCACACTGTCCACAGCAGCTGACTATGATTTGTCTCTGGCAGGGGCATGATTCTGCCAGCTGCAGATAGTTTACACTTGGAATTCTGGGAATTTATAAATGCCAGAGCCTCGAGAGAGGTAGCTCCATACTGCTGCTTTCTGCTTTTGCTGCCTGGAGGTAGCCAGCCGACAGAGACTAAACTTGTCCAAAGTACTCATCAGCCCTAATCAGCAGGAAGTAGTCCAACGATGTCGATGCCCCTTTCCCCTTTAACCTTTCTCTTCTACCTTGTTGCTGGGGAGCTGGAAGGGATGGGGTGCTGTAGGGAAGTAGGAAAAAGAACCCAATAAACTAGCCAAAACTCCGGCTGCAGCATGAATTAAATAAACCAATTTTTGGTACTCAGTGTTTATTAAGCACACACTAAATAAGATGTTATATTAAGGTTTAGGGATATAGTTCAGTGGACAAGTACTTCCCCTTACATGTGCAAGGGCCTGTGTTTAATCCCAAGGACTTAAAAAAAAAATTTTTTTTTTTGAGACAGGGTTCCTCTGGGTAATCCCTACCTGTCCTGGAACTCACTCTATAGACCAGAATGACTTTAAACTCAGAGGCGCCTGCCTCTGCCTCCCAAGGGCCGGGAATAAAGGTGTGCACCACCAATTTCAGGTAAGGGCTAAATTTTTAAAATACATATCTAAAACAGATTAGCATTAGCTAAAAATATTAAATTGTTTAAATACTTACTTTTTTGTTTAAAAATGTGATTGTTGATTAGTGTATATGTATGTATATATCTATGTATATATACATACACACACACACACATATATTTTTTTTTCCTGAAAAACTTCTATTTCATAAAAAAGACAATGAAATAAAAGGGACAGAAAATGGGAACCCACTTTAGTACATAACTTTGTACCCAAAAATGAAATAGTTGGTTCCTAAAGAGATCAATTGCACAGCTGTGCCAGGCAACTCGGCATAGTTGGGAACTGAGGAAATGTGAAGAACTAACAAACAGGAAGGTAAAAGGTGCCAACAGTGCGTATGAAGGAGACCTCACTGGAGACCTGAGGCCGCTGCCACCACAGGTGGAGTTCAAAAGCCCTCCCCAGACACACAAACCCACAAAGCCTCCACTAATCTTTATTGCTGATGCACCAGACTTCAAAGTTTTGTGTGTGATAGCAGCCTCAGGCCTTCCCCTTCTTTTCCCACTTAGGTTTTCTACTCCCATGATTCTGCCTCACTTTGTCTATGAGCAATCTTACACAGATCAACAAAGCCATCACGAACATCATTTTCTATTGACCGAGAACGTTATCTGGTGTTACAGAAATGTCTTATAGCAGAATGTTTATACTTAACTGTTTCTGAGTTTTCTGAGAAACAGCCAATCCTCGATTATCCAAATATAACTAACATCCATTTATTGGTTAATAGCAACTAACTTGTTAATATTAGAATAAGGTTCCTTCGTTTTAAGGAGCATGTTAGAAAATGAAGCCAACCACTATACAACAAAGAATGTAAATCTGCTTCAGATGTCACTATTAATGTTTATAGTTCATTCCCTTTCATTACCAGACATAGTCCACTAAATGGACACAGCACCATTTCTCATTTCCTTGTTGATAGGTATCTGAGCTGGCTTTTGGCTTTGGGGTTATTAGTAATGAAGGTGCCATGAACAATCTTGCAAACATTCAGCAAATGTACTCCTATCTACTGAGTAACTTCCCAGAGTGCCATAGTCAGGTCCAACTAGGACTGTAAATGTATTTAACTTGTGCTGAAGAGGAAGAAAAACGGGAGATTGTGTACACAAGAAAATTTTATGGTGTGGTGGATGTGTTTTGGGGTTTTGGTTTTTGAAGACAGGGTTTCTATGTACCCGTGGCTGTCCTAGACTCACTTTGTAGACCAGACTGGTCTCAAACTCACAGATATCCGCCTGCCTCTGCCTCCCTGAGTGCTGGGATTAAAGGTGTGTGTCATCATGCCTAGCTATGTTCCTTATCTGAACACCAGCAGTGACGGTAAGAAAATCTCCATGTTTACCGAACTGTATACTTTTAAATATGCCATTAGCTGTGTGAACTAAATGTCAATATTCAATAAATATTTCTAATAAAAAGAAAACAAAAAAGTCCTAAAGAAAAACAAAGGATTTCCTGACTATCTCATCATAGGAAGTGTCTGAGTTAAGGTTTTTATTACTCTGATGAAATAACCATGACCAAAAACTTGAGGAGAAAAGGGTTTGTTTCATCTGACAGCTCGCTGTCCATCATCACCCAAGGAAGCCAGAGCTGGAACTCAAACAGGTCAGGAACCTGGAGGTAGAAGCTAGCACAGAGGATGGCAGGAGTCTTCCTTCCTAGCTTGCCCAGCCTAGCTTCCTTACAGCACCCAGGACCACCATCGCAGAGGTGCCATCGCAGACAAACACTAATTAAGAAAATACACTACAGACCTGGCAAGAGACCAAATTCAGGGATTAAAAGTCCCTATCCCCCAAATGATTCTAGCTTGTGCTGAACTGACATAAAACTAGCCAGCACAGACAGCTAACTGTAACTAGTCCCAAGTCATTTCAAACGCTGGTTTTCAAGAGCCAGGGCAAGGTGGCAAACGCCTGTGGTTCCAACAGCTGGGGCCTGAGGCAAGAGTATCACTGCATTTAAGCCCCACCTAAGCCACACGTAAGAGCCTGCTCACCTCCCTCAATTTCATCCCACATTTGAAGACATTTTATGGATGCCTTAGCTATACCCTAGTGTAACATTTACTGAGTAATGTTCATTTTAAAAGTATGTGCTAAGCATTACACCAGCCTGGGGACTAGAAGACAGGTAATAAATAAAATATATAACACACAACATTTTAAGTAAACTCAAACCTGAAAAATGGACTTCTTTACAAAGTTTTTTGAAAAGTGTTCTCTCTAAACAAAGATGGCATTTTGAAAAGCTTCGTCGTTTAGAGTCCACCCAGGCCACAAGGTCATCCTTTCCTCACTGCTTGTAAAGATAAACTGTTATATGGAACGGAGCGAAATGTTTCCTTCCCAAACTGCTCTTGGTTATAGTGTTTAATCCGAGCAATAATAGCCTTAAGTAAGACAGCATCAAAATATTTCAACAATGTCTTAGAAGTAGTCAACCTGAAAAGGCTTGGAGATGAGCGACAAAAAATACACATAGATGTTCTTTTCTTGACTATGCTCTTTGCTAGCTCCACAATGCTGGCTGGGTTTTGAATATCTTCTCAGAGCTTATTTGAAAGTCCCTGGACCACAAAATTTACTTTCTAGTAGGAGGCAAACACTACATAAAGAAGTAACTCAATAATTTTAGAGAGGAGAAAACACTGTGAAGGAAATATAGGTAGGTGGGGAAACTGGTGATACAGGGTAACAATATGTTTAAGGGTTCCGTGAAACTATATATAAAGCTGCGGGGCACAAAGAAAACACATTGATGTTCTTAAGCCTGAAGGTGACCGTGCTGACATCCACCTCACAGAGTAACAGTCACATGACATGTTTAGGATAATAAAGGCTGACTCATAGGGATGAGACAGTATGCTGTATAGGTCAGGCTGACTTTGAATTTGATCCTCTAGCACCTAGAGGAGCTTTTTATCCTTACTACGGCTTTTAAAACTCTTATGTAGTTATACCTGTGCAACAGTATTAATGTGTAAGTAAGAGGATAGCCTCAAACGTCAGTCCTGGATTTCCACATTGTTTAGGACAGGATTTCCTATTGTTGCCAGTCCACATGCCAGTTAGCTGGTGTGTAAGCCTCTGGAAGTATTCTTGTCTCTGTCTCCCGTTTCGCTGAAGGAGCACTAGGATTACAGGCATATATTTGCTTGGCTTTTCATGGGTTCTTGGAATCTGAACCCACACCAAGCACTTTACCCAGTGAGCCAATTTTTTTTTAAGATTGATTATTATGTATACAGTTTTCTGTCTGCATGTAAGCTTGGAGGTCAGAAGAGGGCACTAGATATTATTATAGATGATTGTGAGCCACCATGTGGTTGCTGGACCTCTGGAAGAGCAACCAGTGCTCTTAACCTTTGAGCCCCCACTGAGCCTATTTAAGCCCCAAAATAACATCCTTTAACACAGGAGAAAAACTGCACATTTTCATAATAGGACTCCTAATATAAAAACAAAAAAGATATTCAATTAATGTTTTAAAGAAATACTAAATAGAAGATACTGTTTTTTTGCCATAGAAAATACCTAAGCAATTTTGATAGAATAATACTGGAATCAAGTTATATCTAATTTAAACACATCATCTGAACAGGTAAATAAGATGTAAGAACAATAACAGACTGGCTGCTTAGCTAAGCTTTAATAACTCCAGTTGTGTTTAAATGATTTTATTATATGTGTATTATTCCAATAATATTTCTAAAGGAAAAAAATACCTACATCTCATATTTTAGCTCTAGAGTGAAAAAAAAAAACAATCTGTCTATTCCCATTAACAGCAAATTAACACTGAAAGGCCCCAAATACTC